CTACGTAACTAACATCGCAATCATCATAAGAGATCTTATAGACAACGTTTTGATTGCATAAAGGATCCAACTGGTCTTTGCCCTTTCTTATAAAGTTCTTTAGTGAATTTGGGGTAGAGAAAGCTAATTTACAATGAAACCTGTTAACAATTGGAGTAAATTTTTCAGATGCCGAATTCACATAAGGTATTGTGAAAAATTTTTCCTTTACTTTCTACGTAACTAACATCGCAATCATCATAAGAGATCTTATAGACAACGTTTTGATTGCATAAAGGATCCAACTGGTCTTTGCCCTTTCTTATAAAGTTCTTTAGTGAATTTGGGGTAGAGAAAGCTAATTTACAATGAAACCTGTTAACAATTGGAGTAAATTTTTCAGATGCCGAATTCACATAAGGTATTGTGAAAAATTTTTCCTTTACTTTTTTGCTAACAGTTCTATTATTAGAATCAATGTGAAACTTTATTCTTTTTTGTATTGAAGAAAAAACAAATTCCAGTGGATAACCATTACTTAAAAAAATATTGATTGCATTAATAAAATTATTTTGCTGGAAACGAGGATGACATAAACGTATAATTTTGTCTACAAAACCGTATATTACGCCTCTCTTGTAACAAAGCGGATGGTGTGATTAAAATTAAGAAATTTACCAGAAAAAGTCGCCTTACGATACACGTCAAAAACTAGCATCTGTTCTTCCACAATCAACGTAGTGTCAAAGAAACTTAGTTTTCTATAACTTCCATAATGAATTGCAATCTGTTATGTAATGAGTTAAAAAATTTTTAAATGTCGTTAGTACTCTCTGATGGAGCAGCTAAAATAATGTCATTCACATATCGAAAATAAAATAATAACCTTACTGGTAATTTTTCAATTGCTATTTCTTCCAGATCCTGCATAACCATATCAGTAGCAATTGGAGATAAAGGTGACCCCATAGGAGTACCAAAAATTTGTTTGTAAAATTTATTGTTAAACATAAAAAAAGTAGAATTTAAAACCATACAAACAGTAATTAAAAACTCCTTCAAAGGTATTTTAGTTTTCATGGATATGCTTCACCATCTTTTTGTAATACTATCAGATATCAATTCTACGAGAACATTAATAATTAAGGAAACGACATCCAATGAAACAAACATGTAATCAGGTTCAATACAAACATCCTTTAATTTTTCGGTAAGATGAAAACTATTCTTAATATAGTTGGAGGCTTCCGATATGGAATCATTAATAATATTATGCAGATATAACGAAAAATAATATAGTGGACTATTTATTGATGAAATAATAATTTTTAAGGGGTTACCTTGTTTATGGATCTTTGTTAAACCGTATGCTCTGGGGATGATAACATCAGTCGTGAATAATCTTTGATATGTGGAGTCATCAACAAACTTTTTATCTTTTCATCTAACAAGTAAGGAGCGTAAGTCACTGGTTAGTTTATTAGTCGGATCTTTATTGATAATTTCATATGTATTATTGTCTGATAGAATCTCTTCCATTTTTGATATGTAATTATCTTTATTTAATATTAAATATTTTACTAAAAATTATTTGAATTATTGGTCTGCCATATTGAATCAGTCATTGAATTTTAAAATTCGGACTTCTGATTTATAATTCAGTGACTCAAAAAATTCTCGGGTTCAAAGTTTCGAAACATCAATTTCATACAAAAATTTGTAACACAAAAGGTTAAAGACGTTACTATCTATTGATGATACAATTAAATATTTTATGCATTTAAATATTTTTAACATTTTCTATTTAAATCCTTTGTACACTTCAATCACTTCTCAAACTAGTTTTAGCTTTCAAGGTTCTCCTCATAATTACCGATAGATAGAAGAAGTAAATTTGTTTCAAAAGACACTAAAGTACTGCTCTACAAAATTAAAAAAAAAGAAGACTAGTAATATATCTTTTAAGATAACACATTTTTTTAAACAACGTATTTGGACAGAATAAATAAATATAAAATTAGTTAAATAAATAATAATTAGCTCGTTTATTAAAATTATAGAAAGTCAGGTAATAATACACTGTAAAAAATAATATGTTAATTTTAACTTAAAGACGTATAGTGGACTTTCTGAGATGTGCAAAAATGTTAAAATTAATATAAAATTTTAAATTAACATAAAAATATGTCTTTAAGTTAAAATAAATATTTTATTTTTTACAGTGTATCTACTAAAATAACATATTTTCCAACCGGCGTATTCAGACAGAATAAATAAATATAAATATATATAATAATTAGCTCCTTTGTGGAAAATTATAAAAAATCGACACATAAACGTACAAATATACGATAATACAATTATACTCTATACCTATGTATTTTTTTAACATTTTCCAATTGAATTCTTTGTACTTCAATAAAATTTTCAATCGAAATTAATTTCGCTTTTTGCGAAAATAAAATCCTCATTCAATGATAAAAAAAATTCTTATTTAATAATAAAAAAATTAATCAGCTACATGTGCCTATAGGTTTGTATTGATTAAATTTAAAAGAAAATATTTTTTTATTCAAACAAATTTTTGTGTTTGTTTGATATACACTTATCTTTTTATTTACGTAAAGTGATACTTGTGTACAATACATATTGTTTTTAAGAAGAAAGATTAATATAGAAAAGGACAAATTTTTTTTAGTAAAATTGATATTAATAATTTTGAATTTATATTCGCGTATTTATCTTACAAGAACATAAACAGATTTAATTGTGAGTCCTCTCGGATCAAACTAATTTGTTTTACGTTAATTAAAAATTCATAATAGTTGTGTCGTAAAAGTATTTAATGAATTCGTCAGCTATTATTTCTGTATTCGGTCTCAAATATAACCACGTCGTCGTTTTTCACGCGATACATAACAAAGTCCCAACGCAGATCATTAATGCATGCGGCACAATGGCGTTGCTATTGCATCGTGCCACGCATAAAAGCATAAAACCGACATAAATATCGCTCGATGTGGCACAGACTATATCACATGCGAAACATTATCAGCCCGTTGAGAGTTAATAATTCAAAGTCTTCCGTAAAAAGCGTTACCTTGTTTAATAAGAAAGACATGCCGTTGCGCGGCGCGGCGTGACATGGCATGGTGATGTATTCGAGGGTATCATTCGTGACTTATTGGATGCGTATTACACGCTCTGTCCATAATTAAATGGAAAACTGAGAGTCCGTATAAAATTGTAAATTCGAGATGTTACGTATTGGGAATTGGGCAGCTTATAAAATGCCGCGGAATATAATATCGCGCAGTTATTGTGAGCTTAAAAATGATGCTATTATTAAATGATCAAAGTCTAAGGGGATTTCGCCAAGAGAGAAGGGCTGAGATGATCTTGTTAAGAACGAAATATGCCCAAAATTATAACAAATGGACGAGAATCAACGCGAGCATGCACCTCGCTTCTCATGCCGATTGTATTTTAATGAGAATTTAAGGCCGAATTTAAAACTATCTTCATTTCAAAGACAATATCACGATTATATTGATTCTAAAGTTATACCATATTCTTTCCAACTCGCCGCCTTCATCAAATTCAACTTTGCTTCTGAGTTCTCATTCTTAGTACCTCAACTGAATTTTTTTCATTCACTTGCCCGCCAATATATTTCGGCATTTCAGCAAACTTACTTCAATTTTCTTCACAAGATTGTGCGTTCTCGAAAATTAAAATTCAAAGTTAAATGCATACTTCAGAGGCATAATATTTTTAGCAATTACAAAAATGACAAAATGTACTGTTATTACGAAATTCTTTTAATTTGCAAAACAATTTAAATTACTGGTTCCGATATGCTTAAAATAATAATCAATTTTTAAAAAAAGAGAGTAATTAAATATACATAAAAATATTGATGCTTAAAACTTAATAGAATATTATTGAAGATATAATAAATTAAAATGGTTTTCAGTTTTATATTTGTAACTGTATTAATGATGTTACATTTAACTAATAATAGAAATTTAAAATTCGATCAATATCGCTTTGTAACACCTAATGGGTGTTGATATCTGAGCAAACGTTGCAAATTTGAAATATTTATTTTATAAAATTACATTTAAGTTACTTTAGGTGTCTTACGCTGTCAAGTAACAATATTTGCTTTATATAAAAGTTCTGTATTTACAAAACTGGAGGCTAAAATTATAACAGATTATATGAAGAAATAACGTGCAGTTTTTAGAATTAGACTTAGATATCTAATTTTATATACAATATCATTCAACGAAAATTTATGTACAATGTGTGCGTGTGACACAACAGCATATATTGTAAAAGCAATGTGTTGATACATAAATCATATGTGTGTAAGTCCTATTGAATCGGTAAATAACAGGTGATTATGGGATCTCCTTAAAAATATACGTAAAGATGATGAAATAAAAACGTGTAAAAGAATATTGAAAAACAAAATTCCAAATGTTACTGGGATTTTATTGCTGAAAGGAATAATTTTGCATCAGTTGATATTAGTTTTTGTGACTATGACATTGAGAATTCTTAAAAGTAAACACACAAGCTGAATATTTTTATTTTTTAAAGGCTTCTTTAAGAAAAAGAGTAATTTATCTAAATATAATTTATTCATTACCAAATTCAAAATTTATTACTTCTTCCTCCAAATTTTTTGCTACTTACAAAAACGTAAAACCTAGAAATAATTGAGATAAAGAAGAGCATAACTTATTCTCTCATAAATAATAAGATATCAAGATAGCCTATAACGTAGTTATCTTATATATACGTTCATGTACAAAAGTGTAATATGAATAAAATTAAAATTAATTTTGACATGTATAATGATCCACATATTGAACATAAATATCGAATTATACAAAAATGTTATATAGTATTTTATAGAATATCATAATAGACAAGGTGCAGCGAATCATTCATGATCATTAAAAGTTATAAATATATGAGTATATAATTTTGTAATAAAAGTTTTTGCTTACCGACGACGTCAAGGAGCAGAAATATACTCGTGGGCGGATGAGTGGACACTTGGCATTCATACAGTCCGGCATCCCTCGGTTGGACGTATTTTATTTGAAGCGTCCAATCTTCGCTGTGGTGAAAATGAATTGCCTGAAACCGTTCATCGTTGGCGTATGTCGTCAGTCCTACGGTCAGTAGTTCATGTAACAGTAAGTTCTTTCGCTTGATCCACGATACCTGCAAACAAAAAGATTAATACATAAAAATGTGATTTGATATATCTTTGAATTATATTATTTACGAAAATAGAGACGAGATTACTTTTAATAAATGTCGCTTTCTATGTATACTAAATGTAAATATTTATTTACATTTATTTACATTTAAATATATTTATTTAATTTTAGTATAATTTTTTATTTTTAATAAATGTTTATTTACTGTAAGTAAATATTTCGTTAATACTATTTAAACAAATATTTAATAAAATTTAGTAAATTTTTTTCACTGTACTATTCAAACAAATATTTAATAAAATATTTAATAAAATTCAGTAAATTTTTATTCAGAGAGAGTGTATCTATGCTTTTTTGATAATCAAGTAAAATTCTTACTTAAATCTCATTTTTATCACAGATTGCATAAACAGTCTTTTCATCTTTATAATCTCAATATGGAATATAAGACAATTTTAACATCTGTATTAATTATTTCAAGCATAAAAAAGCATTGAATTTATAATATCGTAAAACAAAATATTTTCATAATTTCAAGAACAAAAAATGGCAAAATTTAAGAATTTCAAAACTATGTATACAGAGTTCATTCATATTGAATTCATATACGCATATTGATAAAAAAATTAACTCCTATTTGTTCAAAAAGCATGCTCAAAATTCAATGTAATAAAGCGAAAGAAGTCATATAAAAATGGAACGTGCAAAAAATATGTATTATGATTATTACAAAATCTTGTGTATTATTTTTAGAACGGTAGTTGTATTCATCTATTCGCTTTTCTAGATGATAAAATTGAGTGTTTTGCTACTGCGGTTTTTATATGATGCAGTAATTGGAATACAGATTGCCAACGCACCTGTCGCAATTGTTAGTCATAACAGTCTGTGACTACTGTCCATATATAATGAACAATAATGACTGCCCGTTCATAATGGTTAGAAACTGTACTGTCCAACATAGCGGTCCGCAACTACTGATACGCATCCGTAGACCGTAGAATACAAACAGTAACGCCGCGGTAACTACTGCTCGCTCCTCAGTCTCCACAGTGCTCGTTATTACATTAATTGCTCGTATCGTAATTCTGCATACGTAGCTATTTGAAAACATTAACCCTGCAAACAAAGGATGTAAGTATGTTCTAGGTGCTTGAAATATAAAATATTTTGCGCGATTTAGTACCTATGTCCTTTGTAAAAACGTTATATTTTTAAAAAGTGATAAATAATAAATGAAACGTGAGTCGATTTACTTAATCTTTTCTCTTTTATTCCCTGCTGACGTAAAATAATATTCTAGTACTTACAAATTTAATCGCGGTCATATTATAATAGTTATCACAGTGCATGTAATGCATATAATTTTGAAAGTACAACTTCCTTATTTCTCCGTATATGACTTGCAGATTTCTATATACGCAAATAAAACCTTCATATTTTTACAAAAATACGATCAAATTTTCAGATACCGTTTTTATAAAAATAGTTTCTGGATTTATTATACAAAATAGTCCTCTATTGAGAGAAATAAATATTATATACTTACATAATAGATATTATGTCTACTAAATATTTTGATACTGTGTACTACAAATATTGTACTACAAATATTTTGATAAGACAATTTTATTACAATATACATTTTTTACGTTTCTGACATTTTTACAAAGATTCGTTGTAAAAAAATCACTATATCTGTAAATGCGTCCTTGTATTTCTACAAATAACATATGTGTTTCATATTTCTAATCGTTAGACTTTTTATTTCCTACAGAATTTATACTTTTCCTAAACATCTTCGAATTAATTATTTTACCGTAAAATCCACACTTTCGCGCATACGGTCACTTTATCTTGCGATATCGACTTAGAAAAGTTTAAACAATAAATATTCCCGGCTTTACCGTTAATTACAAGCATTTCACGCAAGATGTGGGCACTCATCTATGCCAAATTAAACATTATAAACTTTGTGACGTCACTGAATCACTCAATGTCAACTACTATTAGTATGTGTCGGATGCTTAATTATAACGAACAATAATTGAAATTTGCAACGACCAGTAACTGCGACAAATATACATACACGTATGCGCGCGACGATCAGTAACTATGGCACGTCAATAACGTGCGGTAACTATCGTGCGTATTTCCGTCCGACCTCCTGAAAACCTCAAGAAGCCTCGTCAGCCAGAATAATCCGACAACTGTACGGCGAGATGATTGTAGGGCTCGTGACCGGAATTAATCGTGAACTCCAAAGACGATTAGATCCCCTTGATAACCACGTATTTTTTATCCCTTTGTCATGCTCCAGCATATAATAGGGAAAAAAATATGTGTCGAATAAAGAGTACCGCGATGCATAAAATATTTTGATATTTATAAATCGAAAAGTATATGCATCAGAAATACGGCAACATTATGTAAACCGACTTTACGTATATTTTTATGTATTTTAATGTAGAAAACGCATAGAGGTGTAATAATATAAAATAGAGAATTATATATAAAAAATTAAAAATATATATCATTTCCGAACTATTTTTCCATATGTTACTATTCTAGCTCTAGTTCAATAGCTTATTTTCCATCTTTCTGTTCACCATAAACCGATGTGATATTTGCTCGCAAAAGGGACATACCGTAGAGAAATGTTCTATGGAGTCGATCAGAAAATGTATCTCAGCAAGAAAATATTTTACGTTGATACGACTTGGCCAGTATCCATTTTCACATTTTAGTGAATGGAAGTTCGCAGTCTGTAAAACCGAGTAAAATATTACTAGACAGGACACACATCACGAGCTAGTTAATTTTATTGCGCATTTAAACGTGCCAGACACTAAAGGTTTAAAGTAATTTTCTATTCTAGGCAAAATCCATTTTCGACCACGATTCATAGAGTAATTCAGAGCGATTGAGAAAAAAAAATCACATAAAAATTAATGACCGTAAATATTGAAAAGTCCCGTGGTAAATTTGTTTCTATCAAACTGGAACATTTCTGTATATTTAATGTACAGGCAACGTTTGTAAATGTAAAATATTTTGCAAATAGTAAAACAAAATATTTGTGATAAATTTGTATGTATATCTTATGGACTCAAAGATTGCAACATTTTTCGATGGATTTCTGAATGCAGTACCGATCCATAAATAAGAACCAACCGCTCAATGAGTAAGCTGTATTCCGAAACTCATTAAAAAAAAGATGTTACAACCTTTTACTCCATGACCATACACTGGAAGAAGCTATTGAGAAATTTATGTAGAAAATAAAGATGTACCCGCTAGTAACTATTACATTTACACGACTCGATTTACGCCGAAGTTATAACATCGATGTTATGAAATTGGCCAATCATAACTATTCCTTTGAAGAATGGAATGATTGTGATTAGACAGTTTCATAACATCGATGTTATAATTTTGGCGTAAATCAAGCTGTGTAAACGACAATGGCTGGACGACGACGATGCCGGACGACGCCGGACAGCTCTGAGCGACGCCGGGCGACTCCGGGTGACTTTGGACGACGCTAGGCAAGTATATATATTTTTTTAAAGAGGTTTTTTAGGGATCACATATTTCAAAATATAATTTCTCTTTATTACTTCAGCACAACTGCCAAGGGACTTGGTTTATACAATTTTTTACCCACACTCATTCTTCCACACTGCTAAAAATAACCTAACTCTACTTACTCTGTCTAAAATTCTTTATACACTACGTCGCCGAGAATAAAGAAAATACAAAGTATCTTATTCTTATTCATTATTTTTGTTCGTTCTTAAATATCTAGGTATCGATGTTACTTTATTCTATCTCAGCTCTGAGTATCACGGTATATGTTCCTCTATCTTATAATATTTAATACCCATATATCACAGCCTGACTATAGTATATACTATACTACATAATATAATATAATATAATACAATAGTACAATACATAACTACAACTATACATAAATATGTCGCAATACAGTATAAATTCTTAATAATACATCACAACATTCCTAATCGTATCATTATCACATCTAGACGCGGTCTTATTCTACTACCTAAATATATTACTCCATATCCGTTACCTCACTAGTTGTCTTTTCCTCTGTTTTCTTTTTCTTGATCTCTTTTTTCCTTTCTCTCTTTAATTTACCTAACACTTTACATTTTTCTGAATCTAATTCTTCGCTCCAAAGTTTCCTCTATATTTCCTGCTTATCCTTTCCTAGATCCCTAAATCAACTGCCTACTTTTTGACATTCTTCTACATAGTGTTCCATACAATTCATCCCTATTCCGCAAAATACGCAGCCTCTATATACAGGGTGTTTCCAAATTAAATGGCAAAACTTCGGGAGCGTGTAGAGGAGTAAAAAACTAAGAAAAAAAGTCCTATAGACATATGCTC